CCGTTTCGGTGGCTTTGGAAAGATCCGAGGCGATTCCTTTGAGAGCTGTTTGGAGAGCCGGAGGGAGAGAGTCGGGGTTGAGGAAGTGGTTGTGGTAGAGGAGGAGGCCCAGTCGAGAAGCAAAGGCCGTGAACCGGCGGGGGTTGTCGAAGGAATCGGACGAGGAAGAAGTGAGCTCTGCGAGTGAACGGTGGATGGACTCCGCCGCTGCGGCCGCTGTGGAAGGTGGTGCTGGTGAAGTCATTTCACGGCGAACTGGACGTAAAAGGAATTGCGGTTGATTGGAAGGTTTGCATTTGCAAAAACCAGAAATACTAAGGTTAAAAAATTGTTTGGTTTCCTTAGCTGAAGACTGAAGCTGTTTGTTTGTCTGTAATTTTTTTTTGAGTTAAGCTTTTTTCCAGAGGATTTTTATTTGAAGGAGACGAGTCAAGGTGCAACTTGGCGGGCGCGAACTTTCCTTCCCGCTGTTGAATTATGGTGAAGTCCCTTATGTTTTATTGGTTGTAACTTGAAAATTTATGAGTTCGTACTCGGGTTTGGTCCGATCCCAAAGAGCTTGACTTTGACTCACAACTCGGTAAATCGAAGTGAAGATTGACTGAGTCAGGTAAAAGTAAAGTTCGCATAATATCTAATTTTTTTAATTTTTTTAATTTTTTTATTATCTTTAAATAAATTTTTATATAATTAAGAGTTAATTAATATTAATTAATTATTATTTTATATTATATGATATTAATATAACATGATAAATACAATTATATTTTTTTTTATTTTATCTTATTGATATCATGTTAATATAAAATGATTAATATTGTTTTGATTAATGATAATTAATTTTTTTATTTATAAAAATTTATTTAATTTAAATAAAATTTTAATTAATCATAAAAAAATAAAATTTTTTTAAATTTTTTGAAATAATTTAAAATTTTAAGTATGTAATTTTTTTGTATTAGAGTTAAATATTGGGTGCGGGTGGGGGATTTTATAAATTTATCTAATTATTGTGTTTTATGAATTTAGATTGAAGGTTAATAACATAATTAAATTCTATTGCTTCATGACAAAGAAAATCTAGAAGTAGGAGGGATAGCTTCGTAACTTCAACTTATTTAGCTTAAAACAAAATTAAAAAAAATCTAATATTATACTTACCATTCCCACCACCATCTTTATGCAAACCCCTTGGACAATTGGTTTGACTTGTTTCTTAGAAACCAAATTGTTTTAATAAGAACATTTTTAGTCAAACACATGGAAGCTTGAGTGTGAGTTGTGACTAACAGATAAAGAGAGAAAGTAAAAAAATTAACGAAAGCTCTTTACCGCACTGTGCGTTTAAGTCAACTTTCTAAAAACAATCCAACGTAGTCCGATCCCACCCGTTTCAGATTTTTTCGGGTTTGCTCCATCTCCGATCCGCGTAGAGTTATCCTATCACCCAAACAGGCAGTTAGTTAATTTGACCTACCCAAAAAGATTTTTTAATCATTCCTTCACTCTCGAACTTCCCCAAGTTCCCAATCTTTCGCTGGCTTTCGCATCTCCGCCATGGATCGAGCCCAGCTCCTTCTCCTAGGTTTGCCTCTCTTCCTCTTCGTCTCCGATCTCTTCAGCCTCTTCACTCCTCCGCCGCCGAAACCGCCGTCCCACCACCACCACCACCACAGTCAACCCAAACCTCCAATCATCCAGGAAACCCTAGATGTTCCTTTACGGGTAATTTTAGCCATTGATCAATTATATTAGTAAACTTCTTCTTTGATTTATCTAAATCTTTTGTCTCGTTTTATTACCTTTATAGAAACCCAGCGCTCTTGGAGGAATCGGTTATGGCAGCACCGTGAATGTCAACTTTTGCGCTTCTTGCTCTTACAGGTTCCATTTGATATGTACTTTTCATACTTGCCTTTTCCTTGGTACAAAGTAGATACTGTTTTTGAAGAATTAAAAAGTAAACGACGAAATTTTGCAGGGGAACTGCGGTGACAATGAAGAAGATGTTAGAAACCCAGTTTCCTGGAATTGATGTAATCCTCGCTAACTATCCACCACCATTGCCAAAACGTTTGCTTTCGAAAGTGGTTCCAGTTTTTCAATTTGGAGTTCTAGGAATTATAATGGCAGGTGAACATATTTTTCCTATGATTGGGATTATGACACCACCGCCATGGTATTATTCTTTGCGTGCAAATAGATTTGGGTCCATTGCAAGTGCTTGGCTACTTGGGAATGTATTGCAGTCTTTTTTGCAAAGCTCAGGGGCTTTCGAGGTTTACTGCAATGATGAACTGGTAAAGTGACCTTTCTGCTATTATATGTCTGGTTTTAGATGATTTGGGTTGAATTTCTTCTGCTAGTCAGGAATTTAATATGGTGGGATTAGTGAAAATCCTTGACAGATTCTTGATTGATGATACATATAAAGGTTTCCGCTGTCATGGTACGTAACTAGATGTTTTCAACCTTGAACAAGATCAGGAACCAATGTTGGGAGCTTCCGAGATTTATGAAACAGTCCATGATTTTGCTTCCATCTTAGTCTCTTCCTTGTTTATTTCCCAGCATTCGAGAACCCAAACTTAATTAATACTTGCTAGCATTGGAGGATGCGTACTTACAAATTGTTATTGCTTATTGATTCATGGAGTTTCATTTAGCTGCTTGGAAAACCTGAGATTGAGTTATGATATTATAATAAAGTTACGTTCATTTCTCATTTGTTGTTTATTTGTCCCTGATATAAGTACCTGAGGAGTGTTGAAAGCTTTTTATTTTCTTTTCATTTACTCATTTTTCAGGAATTTAAGTTTCCATTCGCTTACTTACCTTTTCACTTCTGTAAATTATAGGTTTTCTCTAAACTGGAGGAGGGAAGGTTTCCAGGTGAGATCGAGCTAAAAGATCTTGTCAGCAAAACGTTGGCGAAATCAACACTAACTGACAACGTTGGAGTGGTGTGGCCTTAGCTCGTAGGCTGGACATATGAGCTTTTCGTTTGAAAGTAAGCAGAGTTGTCGCAGGCTCGAGGTTGTCTACGATTAGTTCTTAGATTGGTGTAGCGAAAACATCAAAAGAAATGAGAGCAGGGTTTATATACTCTGTATGGAACTTCCGTTTTCACTTATCCCCACCACTTTAGAAACGATCTCAGTTACAAATGTCGATACTTATAATTTTCCAGTACGTACCATCCTCTATAATCATTTAGTCATTTGCACCTAGCTTTGTGCCACTGTCGTGGTGCTTCTTTTTCCTGCATTGCAGTGTGTATAATGACTTGTTTCTAGATGCGCATGGGTCGGTTGTTTACTTGGTAATGGATATGTGTAGACCTTACTGTGGAGCACAAGCATGTTTCGGTATCATTTTATTGGTATTCCAATCTTTCGTTAATTTTGTCTGTAAATTGGCTTATAAAATGTTAAATTTTCAGCACAGAAGCTGTCCTAAAGATTGATGATATGAGAAGGTATTAGCAACCACCTTCAACATACGGTGGAGATACTAGCAAGTCTGCATGTAAGCATGAGACAAGAGCATCTATTGTAACTCAATGATCTTTATTTATATAGTTCAGTCTACACTGCTGTGGATTTAATATATCACTTAATTCTGTGTACACAAAATGCATAAAGAACAGCAAAAAACTAGCCAAAGGAAAATTTAGGTACTTTTGGGATGATATGCTTTAATCAATAGCATCAATAGTGTTATTATTGAATTGGATTCCTCTTTTGGAGTGGAAGCTCACACGGCAGAGCAACAACTAGAGACCTTGCAACATTGATAATCCCATTCTCCGATGAACACCAGAGGAACTTTCCAAGCCGCTGACCTTGGTAAAACTTACAAATTAGACAACCAATTAAAACTTGATCCTACTATAAATTCATAAAATGCCCTGTAATCCAATCGTACATGCAATCAAAAGGTACAGAAAAGCATATGAAGAAACAAAAAGAATTGAGAGAAATAGGGGATTCAGATCTTAAACCTGGCATTGACCTCTCTTCAAATCTATATTCTGCTTATGTCACGACCAAACACAAAAGTTGTCAGCCAGTTAATAGCAACATAGAATCTGTTCCTCCAGCTAACAACACGCGTTAGATATGCTGAACGCCATATAAACCAGCTGACAAATCCTGCTAGAGATATCCCTTTTGCCTCCTACAGGAAATATCAAAGACGCCGCATAAGTCATCAATATTAATAGCTCAAAAGTGATAGGTTAAAAATGAGTGAGTGTTCACCTTGCTCTGTCTCAGATCAACAAGAGCCTTGAATCTGCCAACAGTCGCCATGCTTCCCAGATGCTTGTACTCAAATGGATCTCCAAAGTCTATGTCCTTGGCAGTATTAGCATGTCCTCCACCAGCTTTACTGATATTATTCAATAGGTTCGCCAGATACTTTCCTTGTCTCTCAGCAACCTGTTCAAGAGGGAAACATTTCCACCACAGTTTTTGAAGCAACAAAGATACCCACAACCTTGAAGGAACAAAGAGTATAGATGCTCTAAAAAGATAGTATAGGAAGTCCACCATAATCCTTGACATCCAATAGGCTACACAGCTTTGTATTGTACCCCTATTTTGGAAGGAAAGAGCAGCTTAAATAAAACATCATTAAGAAGACTCAATTCTGTCCGCTTCAAGATATGACCCCTTTCAAGATACAAAAACTTAGAAGTAGGTAGACTTTGATTTACTTAGTCAGTGCAATGGGTTCATGAAGTAACACAGGCAGGTAACTCTTGTAGGACAAATAAGTCCAATTTCCACCAGAGAGCTTCACAAGCACAGAAACAATTGAAGAAGAGCTCTAAAAAGGTCAGAACTCTTCCTAGCTTACCTGAGCTAAAGCTGGAAGGACAGGTTTACCAGTACTCTCCAGAAACCCACTGCAATCACCAATTGAAAACACATCTTGCACAGAAGGAACTCGAAGCCACTCATCAATACCAATCCTGTTAGCAACAAGGAATAAGTCATAAAATTAAAATCAACCCCATAACAAAGTAAGCTTCACAAAGCAGGACATTAGTGCAGGTAAATTCAAAGATAATGCCCTTGTAACACAGGGCAGGGTATCTAATCAACTGGCATGAAATCAAATCAATTTACATTCCTTCCTCAATATCAGAACCAGCTGATGTCCAAAATTTATATTTATCCATTTTCAGAAAATTTTCCAGTACTGTGCTTTAAATTGTTATGTCAGCTAGAAGCTTTTATAAGGTGCACGCTACCATGACATCAAGAGAATCTTCATGAAAAAGTTTTAAAACAAAAAAGTCACTCTGCGAATCTATCTTACCTTCCACCTGGAGATTTTGCAAGTCCCAGAGAGTTTACGAAAGAAGAAGGACCAACACCTGTTGACCACACTAGCAATCCATAAGGAACCTCTGAACCATCACTAAGGATTAGATTTTGAGGTTTAACATCCTTGACAATCCCACGAACTAGACGAACTCCTGACTGAGGAAAACTACTTAATTAAATATGAAAAAAATCCAGCGCGAAAAATAAAATGTGAAAATCCTCTGTTCTACACATGAGGAGATATTGAAATTACTTTAATAGAAATTGGAAAGACAAACTCATGTTTGCATCAATCGACTATCTCTCACCTTTGTTAACTGCTTAATTGCATATCGTCGGAGGCGATCATCAAAGGAAGACAGTATTTCATTTGCCTAAGAAGAAAAGAATAATTTTATTACAATTGAGAACATCGTAATGCTGGAATTCACATGAGACAGGAGAACAGCAAGAATCTTGAGTAGGCCTCCATGTTTCCAGGCAAAGTTTGGGACAAACAGCATTGTGTAAACAAATATATTGGAAGACCAAAAAACTAAAAGAATACATTAAGAAGTATCAATGGTCTGTATTGCATAACTTAGATTAAAGTAAAACCAACCTCAATCAGTGTGACATGGATATAATCTTTTACATGTGTGTATCTTTGGTGAACATCCCTCCTAATAAAATCACTAAGTTCACCACTAAACTCAACTCCTGTAGGACCACCTCCTACAACGACACAATGCAGCAATCTACGTTTCTCTTCTTCAGAAACCCCTGCTTCAACACAAAGCCAGCAAGCAAAATATCTAATCACACTTGAGTTATTTGTCTCCACCATAAATGGTAAAAGTCATAGTTTACAGTAATTTTTAGGGGGAAAAAATGGTAAAACAACCAAGTGGTATTTTACCTGGCACATCAGATAGCATCAAGTTCAGAAGTAGCTTCCTGCGAATTTCCTGAGCATGGTGGACCTCACGCAGAAAGATTGCATGTTCTTTCACGCCATGGATTCCAAAAGTTGATGCATCTGCTCCCGATGCAATTACCAACTTATCATAAGAAATCTTAAACTTCCATGGATCCAAGGCGTCAGTTCCCTCAGTAATAGTCTCACATTGCACCTTCAATGCCCAAACCAAATATTCCAAGATTAAGCCATTGCAAAAGCCAAAACTTCAAAAACTTCATACAGCATTTTCGTTTCCAACAAAGAAAAGAAGATTACATCATATTATTCACTTGGTATAGGAATGCTACCAGCTATAGCTTAATTCAACCAATTTCATTCTACCAAGCAATATAAAAATAAGATCCATCAATTTATTATGATTGTTGTAACGACACTGTTCTCTAAAAACTAAATTTTTGTTAAAAGTTTACTAAATTCAATAGCCAAAAGCCCAAAACAAAAACTTTGACTGTTAAGCCACTTCAGAACTTTTTTTCTCCAGTTCATTGTTCCAAAAAACAATGCTAATAAAAGGGAAGAAAACCAGAATATTCAAACAATCAAGCCGAGTTTTAAGAAAAAATCCAATAAACATCATATATTTAGCACTAGCAATTAGGATCATCAACAAACTCCCCGCTTTGAATTAACTTCCAATTCTGCCTAGAGCCAACACCTTTTCATTCTCCCAAAGAGCCCCTATGTCCAAAAGTCCCACTAAAATGAAATAACTATTTTAACCCCAAAAAAGGCAACATTTTTTTCACTTACCTCATGGGTCTCAGTATCCACACCAGTACAATTAGCAAGAAAAAAATACGACCCGGGTGCGGAAGAAATCGAGGGCTGAATCCTGGCAATAGGTTCAGCCACGGACCTGAACTCGAGAGTCCCAACACAAGTTGACGCCAAGAGCGGAGTAAACACCATATGATTCCTAGGTGACACGCAAACGATGTCGTAGAGGTTGGGGTCCAAGCCCTTCATTAGCCTACAACCAGCCCACCCTGACCCTAACACCACCAACCTTGGCTTCTCATTTGGCTTGGCGGGTCCCAGCCCTGAAGGCTGAGCCACCGCAGGGGCTTCGTTGGCGGTGCTAAAGTGGGATAAGGAAGTCAGTAGGAGATTTGTGGTGATAGGGCGTTTGGGTCTGGTTGCTGTTGAGATTTTGATTAAGTTTCTATACCATAACATGGCTGCTCTTCTGTTTCTGATTACCACTTAGTATTCATAAGGAAGAAAATGTTGCAGATTTGTTTGGGGAGATAAAGATGCCTTTTCGAGGTCCCAGGATTGTGGATATTCTGGATCTTTTTGACTCGTCCAAAGATTACGGTTTACATGGTCGGCTGGATCGGCGCCAGAGTTGATGGGCTCGTGCCACGTGTATTGTTCTAGATGCCACGTGAGGGAACTCATGTTTACAACACAAAGCCCAACGGCCCAAGTTTTTCTGGTGGAATTGATCTCACAAAGGTAAGATCACATTCTTACAATCTCACAAAACAGAACTCTGTCATAAGGTTTTGCATTTGTTAACCTTCTGTTAAATTATGGAAATATCTACTTTGATTTTCATTTGAGTTAAAGATGGGAGACATTTTGGTATATGTTGAGCTCATTTCATATGAGGAGGAGGAGGGCTAGATGTCACGGACCACATCTCAACGCATTAGAGGTGTCCTAAAGGTGTTTCGGAGTGCCGGTATGTGAGGGAGTACTCTTGGGCGAGCCAACCCAATAGGATGCCAGCAGGGGCGCATAGCACAGGCCCCTGGGTTAGCCAGCCCGACAGAGCCAGGCAAATTGCGCGCAGGTGCGCCAACCCGCACAGCAGGGGTGCGCGACACGCTGACCCGCACGCCATGGGTACGCGGCACGCAGGCCCGGGGCTGCCGGCCCAGCAGAGGTGCGCGGCATGCGGGGACGCAGAGCATGGGCGTACGATACGCAAGCCCAAGGCCCGCCGACCCAGCAGGGGTGCGCAGCACGTAGGTGCGCACAGCATGGGCGACTGGCACGCAGGCCCGGGGCCGCCGGCCCAACAAGGGTGCACGGCACGCAGGTGCGCGTCATGCAGGATGGCTCGGCAGGAGCGCAGCACGTAGGCCCCCACAGCGCCCAAAAAGACTGCCTGCGCGGGGCCTTTGCGCACCAGCCCGTCAGCGCCCAGGCACACAGCCTGTGGGCGACTCAGACCCCACTAGGGGGCCTAGGAGGGTGTCGGCCCACCAGACCCACTCTTTTGATGTATTGAGCTGCTGAAAATTTTAGCTTTCCCTCCTAAATGTTTTGGAGAGAAATATTTTGGGGGGAAATATTTGGGAAAAATTGCTATAAATAACCCTTTATACTTTGTATAAATCATTCAATTCATTCAATATAAGTTCAGCTTTTCTTTTTCCAGCATTATCTTCTCTTTTCTTCCTTTCTCTTTTATGCAAGTTTGTTTGCCGGCTTAAAGCCACTGGGAGTGAGTGCGGGTGTCGAAAGGTAGTGTGTTGCGTGTGGGAGTGCTGAGGCATTAAGGCTGACTTGGGTTCTAGTACCGGAATAAGGGTTGAATCCAAGGCCGCATGGAGGGTGGTCTGAAGAATCGCCTCGTGACATATGCCAGGGGTTGGAGCAATGCCTAAGGCTTTGCCGCCAGGAGGGTGAGTCCTTGTTGGGGCATATTATCTATAAAAGGCAGTCATATATTATATATATATATACACTTGAAGCAATTTAAGGTAAGAGAATACAACAATCTTTATTTGACATATATTGCAATCATATATAGCAACCTTACACGGCAAAACCTTAGCATATACACAATATTTAGGCATATATTTAGATTTTTAAAAAAATTAAGTATCATTAATCCATTCGACTTCTGCGGCCACCACCATTTTTGCCGCTACGACCTCTAGTCCTTGAAGGAGGATCATGGCCACGATTTGCCGATGGTTCACTGTAATCTTCGGTGCTTGCCATTAGAGACCTTCCTTCGGCTGCCAACACAACCTCGTCCCCTGCAGCATATATAACCCATGCAATGTTTCATTTAACTACTTTGCTACACTAGATTTATTTACTTTTGGTTATGCATAAAGTCACTAACGTATGCAATCTTTAATTATTATATAAACTTTTGTAAATAATTTAAATAAATTATATGAATTGAAATTTTTGAAAAAAAAATTCAATATTGGTTGGAAAATGACCAAATTAAAACTCAATACACAAACGGATTACAGGCATTTTGTCCCCGACTATGGTCTTATAGAAAATGAAAATATTCCATATCTTCGGTCTTATAAATACTTATATCTTTTCATCTTTTCACGTGACCGACCATTGAGCTAAAACCAATGCTTGTTTGATATGCAGAATGCCTTGGGAGCAAAAATTCAGCTCAATTAAATAAACATGACTCCGTAATTACTACAACTCAATCCACATAGTTTATTAAAAAAAAACATTGGAAATCTGTATTTGCAGGCAAAGAAGGTTGTCTCTTCCGAAACAAAGACAATCCATGGATGCCACCATGCATGTAGGCGTAAGCCAACTGGCCTGCTTCACGCACAACAAAGATTTTAGTACGGTGCTTTTCTATGGACACTACTCGGTTATGCAAGCAATTAAAGGTTTGGATGACTGAGTAACAATGGAAGAGAAGTAGAGAACATACCTGAAAGTGGAATGGTGTTAGGAGATGCAGAGGCAAGAACGGTCAAGGTGAGCACAAGGCAGAAGCAAAGCTTCACTCCAAAACAACCCATCTCTCTATTTTTCTACCCCTTTGAATATTTGTGTGTCCGGTCGAAACCAAGACGACCTATTTATAGAGAGAAAAGTTTCATGCTGAGAGTTGACGTTTTGACGATCATGGATGCCACGTTCAACTCATGCAACAGATGTTACATGATTGGATCTGAGCCGTTGGTTGATCTCCATTTGGTCAACGAGGTTGCTGTCGCTTCCTTTATCAGAAAAAGAAAAAAAAACAAAAGAAATGAAATGAAGAAAGCTTTCTCTATCATAAAGTCGCAATCATTTTTCTCATATACAATCTACTCCATGATATGATGAATAAAATACTGTAGGTACATATATCCTACTTAATTCAGTTGGAACTTGTGATTGAAACAATTAATGTGTAATGCTTAATTTTACTTTGTGTATTGCAATTGGTATACATGGTGGGATCATATCCCTTGATAGCATCTGTTTGCAAGCTATTCTATACTGCCAAATAGCAAGAACTGTGAAGTTTCAGCAGAAAATATATTGTTTAGAGTGTAGTCAGAAGTTCATCATCAAATAACAATGGGGTAAGTGCTGAAAATTATACATGAATTTCAAGTTACTCATAATTTTCTTTTCACCCCTGACCAATTAATGACGCCGATAATCAATAACTTTAACGAAAATAATTCTTTCATAATACAATAAATTCGACTCTTTCATTCATTCCTCCTTCACATAAACATTCAGTATCATCTTTGACATATTCCTGATTAAAGAATATTTCGTTGATATCACTTTTCATGTTGTAAAAATTCCTTAGAAAATGAGATTTTTTGTGATGTTCTCAAATTAAATAATAATAATAATAAAAAGATTTATATGGAAGGTTTGAAATATTTAGGAGTAGTCTAAGCATATTGGTTAAGGCATTAACAAGATTTATTCAGAGTAGTTAGTTTGCAAAACCTATAAGAAAGGCGGAAATTCATAATTCCCAGTTTTGGGAGCAATAATTAAAAAAATATTTGTTAAATGTGTTAATGATGCTTACTAAACAAAGTGCTTATAAAAGAAGCCGCTATAACCTGGGAACATTCAGAGGCTTGCTATTTCTCTTACTCCAATAAATTATAATCCATGTTTTTTTTTTTGAAAGGTAAATTATAATCCATGTTATTGTGACATTTTGACTTTTATGAATATCATATATTATGTTGTTTCCTGTCTGGGCAATTTTTTAAGCATAATTAAACTTCAATAAAGCCATGGATTATGATAGAGATTTGGTTCATCGTACCAGGCTTAACATATAAAGCCTTTTTAAGCTATTATTGTATTGTTGTTTCTTTCAATTGACACTGATCCACTTTCCGTACCACTTTGGAGTGCAAGCTGGTGTTTTCCTGCGGCTGGTTTCAATAGCATTGGCAATTTCTTCCCTTGCTCTTCTCAAAGTGAACTAACTCCATTGTTTTATTCTCCAAACACTGCTACTTGTAGCTGCATTGCAGAGTTTGCAATGTCATTGAGGAGCTCCTATCCCTGGCTCTTCTGCAACTTGGAGAGGCATTATCTTTTCTGTATTGGTGACAACATCAAACGAAGATTTCTCTCCACTAAGAAACGTTTTAAATAAGGTTTTCAGATTAGTGGCATTATAGAAATGCTAATGGAGTCACTAGAGCTAGACTTTGAATATCTGTAGATATTTTGTCGGTGTAAATACCATGGGCAAATACTTCATCACTCTCACTTTACGTAACAAAGTTTTCCCAGTATTAAGGTGCGTTTGGTATCAGGAATGTAAACCACATTCCTTGCAATGTAGCTTATTAAATTACATTACAGTGTTTGTTTTGTAACAAATCACTGCAATATAAGATGCAATGCAATCCACATTGCAGCCAATGGATGTAATGTGATTCCAGTCCAAAACCAATGCAATCACATTACATTGCACTCTGCAATGTTCTTAAAGACAATTTTACCCTTCAACTTTATTATCTTATTAAAAATATTTTATAATATTATAATTAAAATAAATATATATATAAGAATAAAAATTAAAATAAAATAAATATAAAAAATTATATTTATATAATATAGATAAAACAAATTAAAATAAATATATAATATAAAAATATATTAAAAAAAAAAAAAAATATATATAAAATTATAATAATAAATAAAAATAAAATATAGACAAAATATATTTAAAATATGATATTATATAAAAATTAATAATATAAATATAAATATATAAAAATAAAATATAAAATATATAATAATAAATAAAATAAAATATATGACATTAAAAATATATTTAAGAAATGATATTATATAAAAATTAATAATATAAATATAAATATATTAAAATAAAATATAAAATATTATAATAATAAATAAAATAAATAATATATATTAATATATTAAGAAATGATATTTATAAAAATTATAAAAAATATAAATATATTAAAATAAAATATAAAATATTATATAAATAAAAATAAATATATGATATTAAAAATATATTTAAAAATATATTATATAAAAATTAATAATAAAAATATAAATATTAAACTTATATTTAATAATTAGGGTAATTTTGACAATTAACATTACATTCTCACTAAAGTACTTGTAAACCAAACACTGCAATGTTATCTTCCCTGCATTTTAATCATTATTTTACTTACATACCAAACACTGTAATGTTATTTTCCCTGCAAATCACATTGCTTGCAATCACATTACTTGCAATCACATTACCTGTAATCACATTGCATTGTAATGTACCAAACACCACCTAACTGTAATGTAGAAATTGAGAACTGTGCCCCTTTAGCAAAATAGTTTCGTATATTTTACAGAAGAGAGACAAACATGATCCATGAAGAGAGATCTAGAGAAAGCAACATCTCAAACCCGAAAAGGAAAGTCTAATTCCAATTTTGAATATGAATTCCCAGAAACTATGATCAGCCCAAAAGGAGCAATCTTATCCCAAATCTGAATGCAATGCACAATATAGCAAAATCGTCTGTTGCCCATTTCTATTGACAAAAACCACAACTGAGCTCTTCTCCTTTGCTTTCTCTGAATGGCTCAAAAGTTGATGATAGGCATTCATATTTGTTTCTGGAATGAATCACCTTACTTTGAATATGATTTTCACTCCACAATATCGTATCCTGATTGAAATTGCCTTTATTCTCACAGGAAGAGTGACAACTTTATTGATACAACAGCAGTAGGTAATAAACAATCATCCAATCACTTTACCTTTTGGAGTATAGTGATTGCTGTTGAATTTAAGATCTTAGTGATTAAGTCTGCTTGCAAAAGATAATCTATTATCAATTTTCATCCAACCACCACTTGAATGCATGCAATGATCTCTGCAAGCAAATCATCATCCATATCCAATGGAACCAAATTATGTTGTCTATTTGTCTCTCAACTTTTGCTGTAGTCACTGAGCATAATCACAGTTACAAACAGAGAATAGAAACCAGATTGTCTCAAATCACCAAAAAGGTAGCAGCTCACTAAAGCATCTATAAGCAAGGGCAGATGACTGAAAGTAACAATAGGAGAAAGGTAAGTAACATTCAAGTGTGGCCGTCTTTCACAAGTACATACTAACCCTCATTCAGTTAACCATTAATAAATCAACATTTTCTTTGTATTAAGTTCAGAAGACTTAACTTAATCATTCAAAAAGTTACTAGAACTGAGGTCGTGAACAGTTAGCAAAGCGCAAAGTATTTATTGTAATCGCATGAATTCCCCTGCATTCTGTCCAAAATATGAGCTTCACCAGCTTGAAAGTCACTAAAATTGAAGAAATAGACAGGTTGAAGAACACAAAGAACCCTAGGAATCACATAAATTTGTAGAATGATGGTGCAGGATTGTACAAGTAGACATATACAGGCATGTCCTTAACAAAATATCCTCACAGTTAAAATTTAAGGTCTTCAAATTAAACGGTTTATGTTCAAATCTTAAAAAAAGATGAGACTTAACGGAATAAAAGAAAACTACTTCACATCATGTACCGCAAGATCCAATAGATTTTCATATGGACCAAAGGAAGGCATAAACATAGTACAGTAAATCATTATATCTATGTAAAGACGCAATAATACAAATACGAATCAGATAAGAGCAAATCAGTTAATAGAACTCCATAAGCAATACAACTAGGTATTTCCACAACAGATAAAATCTAGATCAGGGCCCCGGTACACTTATATTGGAGTTCTTGAAGATAACATCTTTAACAGACAACAATCTCAAAACCTTAGGCCTTAACTATAATTCTGACATTTTAAAATCCCTGATTCCTCAACTACATAACCATAGAAAAAAGACAATCACACTACAGATAAAATCATCCAGCAATCATCTTTTCTTAAAACCATATTTTTTACGTTCATAGAATAAGTCAGTTTTCGCACTCCCCAGATTAACAATTTTCGGACAACCATCCCGATCTTTCTCTTGCTGTGTACACTCCTTACAGTAATATGCATCAGATATTCCCACTCCTCCACAGATAACACACCTACCCTGGAACGAGCCATAGTTGCATTCATCACACACCCGCACAAGCGTGCAAGGACGTACGTAGGAGTCACAGATTACACACTTGCCATCACATTTCTCACACAGCCGTCCTATTGCAATACCAGGCTGCTTCCGGCACATGATCAAATCGGGATGGTGCTTGGCCATGACTGCCGCAACTCGTTTCTAAGTTGTTCTATTAACTGAAACAAAAAGCATATAAAAACCCTCACAGAGTCAAAAAGCATAATAATCAAACAATAGTAAAGATTATTATGAAGATAAATTCAAAAAAAAAAACATCATAAAATCAAAGACGAAACTTATTAAGACTCCCTTCTTCTACCACTCGCGATTTTTTCATCAGCTCTTCCTTCCTAAAAATCGCTATAGAAGTGAACACTTAACAAAAATACAACACAAATTATAACAAAATCATTCCATATAACAATCAAAATGA